TCTTAACATAGTATTACTGAATGATTATTATGTGCTAGGCACTGTCTTATCTATGTTAGGCTCTGTAACTCATATAATCCTCACAACAGCTTTGGAAAGGGTATGTTATTGCTATGCCAGTTTGTAGATACACAGAGATGTTGAAAGGGCAACTCCTGGCTAGGTGCCTAGGGTTACAAAGATTGAAAAAGGTGTAGTGAGGTTGAACCTGGGAAGTCTGGCTTTGGAGCTGATACTGTTTTGTTTTTTTTTTTATAAGCCTGAATGAACTAAGACACTAAGTCAATAAGACAAAAATAAAGAACAGCAAAAATTACAGAATTATTCATGAATACAATGAAAGTACAGAGATATTGTCCCCATTTTTTTGTTTTTAATATTACATGTTTATTATTGAAGTACAGTTGACAAATGTTATGTTAGTTTCAGTCACACAACATAGTGAATCTACAGCTCTACACATTATGCAGTGTGGAGCCAAGACTCTTAGCCTTGGAGCATCACTGCCATTTTCCAAACCAGCAAGAACAAGGAGGACAACCCCATAGAAGAATGGGTGAAGGATTTGAACAGGTAATTTGCACACACAGACACAAAAGAGATGTACGTGTACAATAAACCTATGGCAAGATTTTCACCTTCATTAAAAATTAGATAAATGTAGGGGTGTCTGGGTGGCTCAGTCGGTTAAGCAGCCAACTTCATCTCAGGTCATGATCTAAGGTTTCATGGGTTCGAGCCACACATCAGGTTCTGTGCTGACATCTCAGACCCTGGAGTCTGCTTCAGATTCTGTCTCCCTCTCTCTCTGCCCCTCCCCTGCTTACTCTCTGTCTCTATCAAAAAATGAATAAATGTTAAAAAAATAAAAAAAATAAATGCAAATAGTAATAATAATGATATATTCTTCTACTGTAATATTGGAAAAAAATAAAGTTGGACAAAACCCAGTGTTAGAGATGTTGTGAGGACTTGGACAATCTTGTTAGTAGGGGTTGTGATATTTGGGGGACAGTTTGGTAATATGCATCCAATATGAAATGTGTTTCCCTTTTGAAACAAGTCTACATTCAGGTTACCACAGCACAGAAAGATATATAGTCAAGGACATTCATAAATGTATTGTCTGTTATCACAAAACAATGAAAACAACCAAAATGCCCACCACGCATGAGTTAGTAGAACAAAAAATGGCAAATTCTTATGGTAGAGAACGTTCTCAGTCTTGGAAATGGTGATAAAGCTGAAAATGCCTGAATGACATTTTCCATTAAATACAATCACAAAACAGTGTGCATGAGACCACTTGTAGAAAATTATATGCATATGAGTATATGTATATGCATGGGGATAATCTGAAAGACATGGCACTAAAGAGTAAATGGTAGGTATCTCCAGGTGTGGGAGATCTTTTTCTCTCCTTCTTTGGGGAGCAAATTTCATATTGTTTGAATTTTTAATTAAAACAGTAAATATATTTAGTTAAAAGAACTATCAGTGATGGGGTGCCTGGGTAACTCAGTCAGCTGAGTCCGACTCTTGGTTTCGGCTCAGGTCATGGTCTCACAACTGGTGGATTTGGCTTCTGCACTGGCAGTGTGGATTCTCTCTCTCTCCCTCTCTCCCTGAACCTCCCTCCTCTCTCAAAACAAATAAAGAAAACATTAAAAAAACACAAAGAGCTATCAGTAAGATATTGGCTATAGCTTCTAGCCGAGATTTCTGGAAGGCATTGTGCTTCTTTTAGAAAAGTGTTTTTCAAACTGCAGGTTAAAATCCATTACTGGTTCTAAAATCAGTGTATAGGTTATAGACAGCATTTAAAAACAAAAACAAACATACAAAGTTGAGTGTTATTTTGTGAACTAATAAAAATTTACTGTTGTGCTTGCTTTGTGAGGTAAAATGTTATCTGTAGGGTCAAACACAGTGCTCTGATGGTATGCTGAGAATGTGCTGCTGGTGGGCCAGACTCCTGGGATTCAAACACTGAGGAAGTTCCCCCAACCCTCCAACTTTTTGGAGCAAAGAAAATAAAGGGTCCCAAATCAAGTGAGCTGGCTTTTCCTGATCCGTGGTACCCAAAAGCTGTCTTTCTCCTTCCTTTTACCTACTGCACCAAATGTACCATGGGTTTGTTGAAAGTGTTTCTTACTAGCAGCATCAGGTAATTTGGAGACATAGTTTTTCCAAACAGAACCAATACGTCACTGAGAGCAGGGCTGCTTACACAGCAGAACCTCAAGCTTTTACTTCAGTCTTGCACACGTGAGAATTCCTGGGTGGGAAGGTGCAGGGCCACCTTGTAAGGTTTGTATAGAGAATAATTTAGGGCTTCCTCTTGACCAAATAAAGCATTATATTGATAATGAGCCCAAAAGAAGGCTATAGGTAGAAAGGCTGTGCATAATAATGCTAATATTAATACTACTCATAAAATATTTTATAATCCAAATGCAAAACAAATATAACCCAATGACATTAAGCCTTGCAAAAGGTTCTATTAACTATTTTTTTTTCTTTTCTGTATTTTAGGATGCTTTGAAATCTTGGGGCCTTGTGACTAGGGCTCAAGGGAGGGATGGCCCCTCCCAGGGACAACTAATTCCTAGAGATAGCAAACAACTAGCCTGAGTGCATGCCTTTGGTATTCAAACCAACAAATCCAGAGCACATACTGGGATCTGCCTCCTATTATCAGGTTCTGCAGTCTTAGATACTATCCCCCTGCCCTCAGTCACCCCAGGCCAGGTACTAGACAACTAGAAACCACCTCTATAACACAGAGCCTGCCAAAATTCTCAAACTATCTAATTCCCAGCCTGCTCAGCTGCATATCCTGCTTCACCCATGACTTCTCCCAACAACCACAATAAAGGCTTTGTTCATGTTGTTTTCCTCTTGTCCCTTCTGACTCCTGACAGATCCTGGTGCTTCCCTGTGTGGACTTAGGTGGTATGGCATGTGCCTTTCTCTTGGAAATTGTAAGTAACAAACTATCTTTTCCGTGGCAACAATTTCCTGATCTGTTGATCTTACCAGCCTGATTGTATCAAATCCTGGGTACATTTTCAAATAAGTGTCAATCAACGGCAAGTAATATAGGCACTCAAAATTGCCAGATAATTCAGAATTATTAATAGTAGGCTCAAGCCATTTGAAGATTTATATCCCCACTTTGCTAATAGATTTAATACCTCAGAGAATTTATTCTATGAGCAGAGGAGCCACTTGGGGAAAGAATGGCATTTAAACTCCTTTGGAATGAAATCCAGAGGTTGGCACAGCCATGATCCTAATGATTCTTATGAGAGTTAACTCAAGAGGTCTAGATTCAGATGATTTTCAGTACAGAACATTTGCAAGAGCATTCATTGGTAGCCCTGACAGCAAGGTGGGAATTAACTCTGTGATGTGTCAACAATGGGAACAATGCTTTTCAAACCTTTTCTCAAAGATCTTTTGCTGAAAGCATTAGGCTACCTTGCCTTTCTTGATTAAAGTGACTTTATGCCTGGAGGAAGGCTGTGAATGAGCAGAGGCTCTCTGTTTCACAGAAAAGCTTCTCATCATACTTGGAAAAGGATGGTGTAAAATTTTTCAGGTCAGTTCACACCAGGGCGATTCTATGTTGGAAGTACTTGTGCTTCTAGAACAACTTGACAACAGGAAATTGTCAAACATTTTCTTAAGCTCCTGGAAGCTTACTAGGGGAGTCAGGGATTGTTACTTCTAGATTTGAGCACTGTACCAGTTTACTTAGGAAAGAAAAAAGTTCTAAGAGAAGAGTGAAGCACCTAAACATCAAATTGAACAAGGCTGGCTCAAAACTTATCCACATGTCTGGGGCGTGGCCCTAGCAGCTCCTGGCAGGGGACACTGATGGAAACCAGAAGTGCCCTATGAGGCTCTTCTGTTTCACAACCTTGCTGTCAGTCAGGCTGGGCATGCTTGGACAAGGAGGAGAGGTTAGGGTGGATGGTGAGATAAATTGCAGAATACACTGTATATGCCTGTCTAGCAGTAGAATTTTCATAGACCCTGATTTCCTGGATTTGGGGAGGAGACATATCACTATGATGTCTTGATGATAGGTCAAATAAAGAGCTTATTGTGGAAGAATGCATGTCCTCAGAATAGTAGGACTTCATTCTCTGTGTTCTGTCACTGCTCACACATGCTCAGGGCTTATCAGTATCAATTTCCTCACATTCATTACCTCTTTATTGCTCACAATAGGGGTATGATATTATTGTTACATCTATGGTCATGGAGCCTGAGGCTCAAGGATTAAGGGTCTTGCCTGAAGTAACAGACAGTGAGGGTCAGGGTATGGATTTTAGCCATGCTCTTAACCCAATCCACACTGTGGCAGGCTAAAATTCACCATGTGTCTGTTCCACAAGGTAAGAGGCAGGTCAGCTTTTCTGAAGCAATTCAACTTCAGTCATGTTTTTCTTACCCCAAAGGCACTATTACTGGCTATTCCATGTGCTGAAGAAGCTTGCTGTGGCTTGCAGTCACCCAGAGAGGTGTTTTCAGGCAACTCAAGCAGCTGTTGTCTTCTGAGTCTGTGACTTTCTCCCTTCCTTCCTTCCTTCCTTCCTTCCTTCCTTCCTTCCTTCCTTCCTCTCTCTTTCTTTCTTTCTTTCTTTCTTCTTTCTTTCTTTTCTAAACATTTATTTATTTAAATTTAAATTAGTTAACATACAGTGTAGTATTAGTTTCAGGAGTGGAACCCAGTGATTCATCCCCTACATATAGCACCCAGTGCTCATCCCAACAGGTGTCCTCCTTAATGACCATCACCCATTTAGCCCATCCCCCCACCCAAACTCCCCTCCAACAACCCTGTTTGTTCTCTGTATTTAATAGTCTCTAATGGTTTGTCTCCCTCTCTGTTTTTATCTTATTTTTCCTTCCCTTTTTCTATGCTCATCTGTTTTGTTTCTTAAATTCCACATATTAGTTTGTTAACCAGATGCTTCATTCTACAGTGCAGGCTGGCAAGGTGGAGGGGGTGGAGTTTGTACTTGGCCACAGGTGGCTTTGGATTTGAGGTCCCAAGAGCTTGCTGACCCCTCAGAGGGATCAGGTTACATTTGTGTGGAAGGTAAGAAGTTCCTACTGTGAATCTGTGCTTGATCCTGGTTGAGGAACCTTTGCTTCTCTTTGATTATAGTAGTCTGCCCTATGTTGCTGTGCCTTTCCACACTGCATTCTTATTCCCAGGTAGGGCCTGGATGCTGGAATGTAGTCAGAACAGAGGGATTTGGGAAGGGTGGGGCGGGGGATGGGGAGCAGAGGCCCAGCATGGGGTGGACTGGAATCACATGCTTTCCAACTTTATTTACCTTCCCTGAGACTCAGTTTCTTCATTCCAATCTCAAAGGATCATTGTAACTTAAAATGAGATTAAATAGGCAAAACTTTAATGTGCTTCACTCATGTTAGGCTCTCAATAAATGTTTATTACCACATTCCATTCTCTATCCCTCCCTGGCTACCACTTCCTTCCTTCTTTCCTTCCTTCCTTCCTTCCTTCCTTCCTTCCTTCCTTCCTTCCTGTATCCATTTCTTATTTTCCTTCCCCTACTCCACTTTCCAAGGCTCAGTTTCTAGAACCAGATGCTGTCTGGTGGGTTAGGGCAATATAAGGAAATGCTGACCCCCTTGGGATGCACAAATATTACAGAAGCCCTGACCACAGCTCCCTGATCACTGGAGGCAGGACCAAGGCACAATTCTTGCATTATAATGATATATGTGAGGGGGAAGAATGGAGGTGGAGGAGCAAGACAAAAAGATGGCTATTTGATTGTTCTCTCTTTCCTCCTCTAGATAAAAGTGAAATTCCTGGACTGGAGAACAAAATACTCCCTCACAAAAAAGAAGACCATTAAAATTTACTTCTGCTGCAATGTAATAAAGGGGACGATAACCCTCAACATCAGGAAATGACTCCATGCTTTCCCTTTCATATTTGAAACCAGAGGTCCTTACAGCTGCTGCCTTCCTCATCTCAAGCATTAATTTTCTATTACAAATAAAATTAATGAGTTTAGCCAATTTCTGATGCTCATAAAGTTGTGCTTTTCATTACCAAGGTTAACAGCCTGCTGGATACACCTCCTTTTGGTGGGACTCCCACAGAGCTGGGACTGACTGATGCCACCTGGGGCTCAGGGTAGACCCACACCCCAGTCCTGGTCCTGAGATACCAGATGTCTGCTTCTTTTTCTTTAAACCCACAATGTCCTCCACTTATTAGACCTTCAGCTTAAAACTTGCCTCTCCCAGGATCCCTCCCTGATTGACTCTGAGCATTATGACCACACTATAATGTCATATTCTTTTAACACCTACACAGGGTTGGTGACAGATTCAAGTCTGATGGGGGAGACAGCCAGTCTGATGGGACCATGCTGGGGAACAACTGGCCAAGCTCTTCTCACCCAGGGTAGGGTCAGGAAGCTTTTCAAAAATATGTGATATTTAAGTGTCTAGCAGTACACATAGCTATAGAGCTAGGGACCCTTCTGCCTTGTGTCTTTTCTCATAGTGCAGCTCTGTAGACCAGGGGTTGGCCCATTGTATTCCACTGGCCAAATCTAGCCATTGCCTGTTTTTGTGAATAAAGTTTTATTGGAACACAGCTATGCTTATTAATTTGCATACTGCCCATGGCTGCTCCTGTGCTATGACTGCCACACTGAGCAGCTGTAGCAGAAATGGTCAGCCCACATAAAATATTTACTGTCTGACTCTTTATGGAATAAGTTCGATGACCCAGCTGAAGCTCATTCTGCTGTTTGCAGTAAACTTTTCTGATGCTTGATTTCAACCAAAATATTCCTGACCTCTGTTCTGGTGCATTGAGTCTCTTTATAGCTAATGTTAAAATGTTAAGAATTAATACAGTTATAAAATACAAACACAAGGGCTTGGTTGTCAGAGTACCTGTATTTGCATCACAGGTCAAACTAGTCACTAATGACTATATAATAATAATAGTAAATGCAGTAACAGTTTTTATTTGCTCAGCAATTATTATGTGACAGGTATTGGGTTAGGCTTTTGAAATACATTATTTCATTTAAATTCTCACAAAAAATCTCAAATATAGGTTTTTTTTATCCCCATTTTATAGCTGCTGAAACTAAGGCTCACAATAAGTGGTGAACTTAACTTAAGAATTATATTCACCTTCTGGGCAAAGAAGAGGATATATAAAATCAACAGCTTAAACAAAATTGAATGTTTCCCCATGCTCTTCCCATAATAGAAATATGCTGATGACAAGATTTCTCATGATGTAGAAGTTTCACTTATAGTTATGTTCTGCATTCTTTTTTTTCCTGTTCATAATTTTTCTTTTTTTTATTTATATATGAAATTTATTGTCAAATTGGTTTCCATACAACACCCAGTGCTCATCCCAAAAGGTGCCCTCCTCAATACCCATCACCCACCCTCTCCTCCCTCCCACCCCCCATCAACCCTCAGTTTGCTCTCAGTTCTCAACAGTCTCTTATGCTTTGGCTCTCTCCCACTCTAACCTCTTTTTTTTTTTTTTTTCCTTCCCCTCCCCCATGGGTTCCTGTTAAGTTTCTCAGGATCCACATAAGAGTGAAACCATATGGTATCTGTCTTTCTCTGTATGGCTTATTTCACTTAGCATCACACTCTCCAGTTCCATCCACGTTGCTACAAAAGGCCATATTTCATTTTTTCTCATTGCCACGTAGTATTCCATAGTGTATATAAACCACAATTTCTTTATCCATTCATCAGTTGATGGACATTTAGGCTCTTTCCATAATTTGGCTATTGTTGAGAGTGCTGCTATGAACATTGGGGTACAAGTGCCCCTATGCATCAGTACTCCTGTGTCCCTTGGATAAATTCCTAGCAGTGCTACTGCTGGGTCATAGGGTAGGTCTATTTTTAATTTTCTGAGGAACCTCCACACTGCTTTCCAGAGCGGCTGCACCAATTTGCATTCCCACCAACAGTGCAAGAGGGTTCCCGTTTCTCCACATCCTCTCCAGCATCTATAGTCTCCTGATTTGTTCATTTTGGCCACTCTGACTGGCGTGAGGTGATACCTGAGTGTGGTTTTGATTTGTATTTCCCTGATAAGGAGCGACGCTGAACATCTTTTCATGTGCCTGTTGGCCATCCGGATGTCTTCTTTAGAGAAGTGTCTATTCATGTTTTCTGCCCATTTCTTCACTGGGTTATTTGCTTTTCGGGTGTGGAGTTTGGTGAGCTCTTTATAGATTTTGGAGACTAGCCCTTTGTCCGATATGTCATTTGCAAATATCTTTTCCCATTCCGTTGGTTGCCTTTTAGTTTTGTTGGTTGTTTCCTTTGCTGTGCAGAAGCTTTTTATCTTCATAAGGTCCCAGTAATTCACTTTTGCTTTTAATTCCCTTGCCTTTGGGGATGTGTCGAGTAAGAGATTGCTACGGCTGAGGTCAGAGAGGTCTTTCCTGCTTTCTCCTCTAAGGTTTTGATGGTTTCCTGTCTCACATTCAGGTCCTTGATCCATTTTGAGTTTATTTTTGTGAATGGTGTGAGAAAGTGGTCTAGTTTCAACCTTCTGCATGTTGCTGTCCAGTTCTCCCAGCACCATTTGTTAAAGAGACTGTCTTTTTTCCATTGGATGTTCTTTCTGCTTTGTCAAAGATTAGTTGGCCATACATTTGTGGGTCTAGTTGTGGGGTTTCTATTCTATTCCATTGGTCTCTGTGTCTGTTTTTGTGCCAATACCATGCTGTCTTGATGATGACAGCTTTGTAGTAGAGGCTAAAGTCTGGGATTGTGATGCCTCCTGCTTTGGTCTTCTTCTTCAAAATTACTTTGGCTATTCGGGGCCTTTTGTGGTTCGATATGAATTTTAGGATTGCTTGTTCTAGTTTCGAGAAGAATGCTGGTGCAATTTTGATTGGGATTGCATTGAATGTGTAGATAGCTTTGGGTAGTATTGACATTTTGACAATATTTATTCTTCCAATCCATGAGCAGGGAATGTCTTTCCATTTCTTTAAATCTTCTTCAATTACCGTCATAAGCTTTCTATAGTTTTCAGCATACAGATCCTTTACATCTTTGGTTAGATTTATTCCTAGGTATTTTATGCTTCTTGGTGCAATTGTGAATGGGATCAGTTTCCTTATTTGTCTTTCTGTTGCTTCATTATTAGTGTATAAGAATGCAACTGATTTCTGTACATTGATTTTGTATCCTGCAACTTTGCTGAATTCATGTATCAGTTCTAGCAGACTTTTGGTGGAGTTTATCGGATTTTCCATGTATAATATCATGTCATCTGCAAAAAGCGAAAGCTTGACTTCATCTTTGCCAATTTGGATGCCTTTGATTTCCTTTTGTTGTCTGATTGCTGATGCTAGAACTTCCAGCACTATGTTAAACAACAGTGGTGAGAGTGGGCATCCCTGTCGTGTTCCTGATCTCAGGGAAAAAGCTCTCAGTTTTTCCCCGTTGAGGATGATGTTAGTTGTGGGCTTTTCATAAATGGTTTTTATGATCTTTAAGTATGTTCCTTCTATCCCAACTTTCTCAAGGGTTTTTATTAAGAAAGGGTGCTGGATTTTGTCAAAGGCCTTTTCTGCATCGATTGACAGGATCATATGGTTTTTCTCCTTTTTTTTTTTTTTTTTTGGTAATGTGATGTATCACGTTGATTGATTTGTGAATGTTGAACCAGCCCTGCATCCCAGGAATGAATCCCACTTGATCATGGTGAAGAATTCTTTTTATATGCCGTTGAATTCGATTTGCTAGTGTTCTGCATTCTTATCACATTATTTTCCAGTTTTCATTCTTCTCATGGACCAAAACAGTGGCTGGAGCACCATTCATCATGTGCATTTTCTAGTTAGGAATGATGAAGAAAAGAGAAAAAAGCAAAAAAGGCCTTTCATACAAAGATCACAGAGAATCGTCTGCTTACAGCTCATTGGTCAGAATGAGTCACTTGGCCCTAACAACCCACAAGGGACCTGTATGTTTTTGGCTGGCACATTGCTGCCCTGAGTAAAATAGGGATATGGTCTATCAGAGGAGTAATGAATGCTGGAATGGCTACTAGAAATATCTACTCCGTCTGCCACTTTGGCTCCCTAACTCCTGTGGACATAGTTCTTCCTACACAGGGAACACATGCTTTTATTCCTAAATTACCCCCACCCCAATCTTTTCCAGTAACTGGGTCCAGCTTAAACATCTACAGCCTTTCAATGTTGTGCTATGGGCAGCCTTCTCTATCAGTGCCAGATGTGGCTTCTTATAGCCTGGTGACCCATAAGCTAAATATCAGGCTACTTGTTCCTAGTGTACCCAACACATCATTGTGGAGAAAGATAAAACAACCACAATTAAAAAAAAAAATCCTTCCATTCAGGAAATGGGGGAAGAGATACAGAGATTTTTGGTCTTCAGGGGTAGTTACATTCTGCTGGGCAGGGATGGTGGGGCTTGCTGCTTGGACAGTGGAATGAGTGGCTTCTGGTTGGCACATGTGGCTGCTTCTCTCCAGCTCACGGGAGCAGCTCCTTGGACAGTGTGGTCTCGCGGTCTCTGGCTCTGTTTCAGGGAGGGTCCTTCCCGCTGATCATCCTCCTGCCACCTTGGAATTGGGCATGGGAGAGATGGTCCTTCCTGGGAATGCATGGTTTTAACACCCTGCAGTGTGGGGTGTAGGACCAGGGAAGGGAACTGTTTTGGGGCTTTTTCAGCCTCAGGTTGCTGCAGGCTGGGCTTGAGGTTACTCTAGAAATGCAGTTCTCTCAAAACCCAGATTGATTTCTGGTCTATTTGCCTCTGAGCGCTGTAATGTGCAAATAACCGCAGTCACATTTCTTCATGTCTCGATACCATTTTTTTAAACCAGAATATTCATGTACTTTACTGCCTGGCCTCTGTAGCTTGGTCCATCCCCTTAGTTTGTAAATTCATGATGACCATGATAACACCCTTAATCTGGCATAGACTCCCATTGTTTTTGTGGAGAAATCTTAATGAAAGGTCTTGATAAAGGCTTA